ACTGGTTGGAGATGGTGGGACTGGAAAAACTACATTCATGAAATGTCATCTGACTGGTGAATTTGAGAAGTATATAGCTACCTTGGGCGTTGAGGTCCTTCTCCTTGTGTTTCATGCCAACAGAGGACCTATTGTATTTATGGGACCTATCACTGTGTGGGACACAGCCAGTCAGGAGAAGTTTAGTGGACTGATAGACAGGTATTACATCCAAGCCTAGGGTGCCATTATAATGTGTGATATAACTTCGAGAATTCCTTACAAGGCATAGCGATCTGATACAAGTATGTGAAAACATCCCCGTCATGTTGTGTGGCGATGAGTGAATATTAAGGACAGGAAAGTTAAGGCAAACTTTGAAAAGCCCTTCCTCTGGCTTGCTAGAAAACAAATTGGTGACCCAAACTTGGAGTTTGTTGCCGGGCCTGCTCTTGCCCCACCAGAGCTTGCCACAAACCCGGCTTTGGCTGCACAGTATGAGTATGATCCGGAGGTTGCTCAGACAACTGCTCTTCCAGATAAGGATAAAGTAAAGCTGGAACCCAGCATAAGAAGTCTAGTTTTATAGGCAACTGTCCTTGATGCCAGTGGTGCCGCGTGTCTGTCACTTTAATATACAGCTAAGCAGAACATGTGCTTAATCTTCGGGATGTTAAAGGAGATAAATGGACTTTGGAGTGAATGTGGCAGTTAAAAAAAGTACTTTCATTTTTTGGATCTGCATATTTAGCTGTTTTGGAACACAGATGTTTCCGTATTGAGTTTCAGATATAAGACTGCTACAATCACATCACAATATTCACTGGTGAAATCTTATTATTGTCATTCCCATTCCTTTTTGTTTAGAATCAAAATAAAGTTGTATTTCAAATATCTAAGCAAGTGAACTCGTTCCTTGTTTAACAAGCATTTTAAAATCACTAATTAGGAAAGCTGTGCTGTTTACTATTTAGATTGCCTTTACTATTAGATCTATTCGATTAAATTCTTCCTGTGTCTTTATTTTTTGTACATTTGAATCATTTCACAAAAATGATATGACAGAGGCCAACAGTATTTTATTTGGTAAGTTGTTAGGAGGTGTAAATATTATCAACGCAGTTAAGCTAAAATAACACTACTCCACCTGCCTTTTGGATAGGTAGTATAACCTAGGGAAGAGTTTTATGTGACCTGAATAAAAATAGTATGAGTTTTAGACATTTCAAATACATATTTTAAGAATTATAATTGCTTTTATTTTATGGCAAAAGTAACCATGTGCTAATACAGAGCTTTTAAAAGTTGGATGAATAAAACCAACTGATAATAACAGCAGCTTGAGGGAAGTCTCATCTGTTAAAAATGAATATAAATTAAGCATTTATTTGTTTTTTGTTTTAATGCTACATATTTAATGTAAAGTTCACATTTTAAGAAGATATTCCATATTTACCTGTTGCTTTCAAGTGCTCCTAAGCTTTAAAGTTACCAAAAATTAAGGATTTAAGTTAGATGCACTGCAGCTTTATTTTTTTTCTTAATGATTTTTGTGGGCAGTGCAAGGACATAGACAAAATAACCAGAAATACTACTACAACAGAAAAGTAGATCTTAGAATGCTTCTCAATAATATGAAACAGACTGTAAAACTTTTATTAGATTAATCATTTATCTTTTGTGTGCTTTCCACATTCAAAAATGAATTGGGTCTCTCTGGCCTGAGTTTGATCCCAATGACACTGTACTATCGCAATTAGGTGTCTTAAAAATAAGATCTATTTGCTCATAAGTACTGCAGTTCTTTAGATGTCTAATTTTCCTTAAATGATTACTTTTTTACCTAAAAAGTTAGGAAAAGATCACTTAAATATATGAAAATATAAGATAAAAAGGGTAGAACTAAATAAATTTCAATTTATTAAGACTGAGAAAACTGCTATCAGTAGATTCACTTACAGATTTGCATTGCTGTATATGCTATATTCAATTCAGAAACAGATTTTAACAGTCTGAGATGGGAAAAGTTACCATAATCGGGATGAAAACTTTCATTCAAATAATTTAACATAAGGAATATGTGTTGTTTGTAACCTTACATAGGATGCAAGTATGACATTCTGACCCTTAAATGTAACAGTTAAATTTTGGAAGCTGCTTGTTTAATATGGGGATAATGTACAAATCATTGAAAAAAAATTGCTACAAAAAGTATTGCTTCTACTTTGCTTAAAAATGTGAAAAGACAACACACAAAAGGGGAGAAAATATTTGAAAATCAATATCTGATAAGGTACTTGTATCCAAATATATAAAGAATTCTTACAACTCAAAAATAAAAAGACAAATAATGCAATTCAAAGTTTGGAAAGGGCCCAACTCTATTACAAAATTGAATCAATAATTAATAAACCCAACACCAATTTATGATACAAACTCTTAGCAAAGTAGGAATAGAGGGAGATCTCCCTAACTTGATAAAGAACATTTCAAAAATCCTACAGCTAATATATTTAATGGTGAGAAATTAGATACTTTCCCCTTCATATCAGGAACAAGGCAAAGATGTCTCTTCTTATCACCCCTATTCGTTATCATACTGGAAGTCCTAGCTAATGCAATAACACATGAAATAAAAAAGACAGGTATACAGACTGAGAAGAAACAGATTAAACTGCTGCAGATGGCATGACTGCCTATGTAAAAAATCCAAAAGAACTTATAGAAAAACTTCTGGAACTAATAAGCAACAATAGCAAGGTTGCAGGATACAAGGTTAATATATCAAAGCCAACTGCTTTCTCAGGTACCAAAAAAGAAAACTGAAACTCGGAATTAAAAAACAATACCACTTACATTAGCACCCCCAAAAATGAATTACTCAGGAATATATCTAATAACCTAATATATACATATATCTAATAAGTAAAAGATCTATATAAAGAAAAATACAAAGCTCTGCAGAAAGAAATCAAAGAAGATATAAATAAATAGAGAGATAATTCCTTGTTTATGGAGAGG